GGCAAGAAGCAAGTTAAACATTGTAATTTCTATATTCTCCAGGGAGAGTTGCGCCGAGAAATCGCTCCAAAAGGATGGAACGAAGGTTGGGCGGAGCCTTACCAAATCGTATCCTGTATTACCTATTGCTAATTTGTGGATGTACCCATGTCGGGATATCCGCACTAAAGGAACGTTCGGCCAATATTTCTGGATAAAGCAATGTCCCCTGAAGGTTGCAGCTCTACACTGAAACAAATGACGGAAAACTGGTTGCCCCCCCCCCCCTCCCCTCCCCCCGCCCCACCAATGCTTCACAGAGACCAGTGGATAGCCGATGGAGGAATGAAAGACTTGGCTGACACTGAAGTAACGGAATTTCATGTGAATTCTGAACGTCAGCTTATGCCTGCGAGTGGAACAAATCTGAAGAGTACTAAAAAAAACCTGGGCGTTGGATGGGTGCGTGCTCGGATGAGGACTATAGCCCTGGCCGTGTTCCTTGCAAACAGGCTACGTGTAGCGCCTGACTTTTTTGCCCGTAATATCACGTAGGTTATTGTGCCCATAGATCTTGTGTGTGTTACCTGCCAAGATCTGGCAGTGACAGGACGACATGTGAGTCTGAGCTTATTCAAGAGCATCACACTACCTTTCGATGCGGTTCTTCCACAATAACGAGGCTCTGCCGTCGTTCGTTCTCTTCTTCCATCATCGCTTCCATGAACTGCTTCTGTCGTTCCGTATTCACCGTACCCCAGACAGATTTGAACAAATAAATGAAAATCTCGAGCAGAGTCACCTGAAGAAAACCTAGGTAATCGTAGGAATTCATGGCATTCAAGAAAACACTACCAACTGTGCTCATGCCGAGGAACAATCCCATGCTTCCAGCAATATTCGATAGCAAATCAGCAGTCTGCAGCTGCTTCTGTTGCTCATGGCGCTCATAGGCTGTGCTTCGAAAGAAGATGTTCACTGCGGAAATATTTCCTCTGAAATAAATGAATCACTGCAGAAGCTGGAAAGCGAAATTCGCCGGCTGTCTGGTGAAGAAGCTCGCTTCTGTGACCGCGCCTGTGTATAACGGGCAAACGGGCGCTGTTTAGTTTCTATTTCAGTTATCAGAAGTCAAGAGTGACTGTGGCATTTTAAGACAAAAATGGCTTCCAAATAGATAATCATGAGAGAAAAATGGTTAGCGGAGAGGAAGGAGGAAAGTCCATACAGACAGCAGGTGGCGCTTTCGCGCTATCAGTGGCGTGGGAAGGTGCTGGAAGTGTCTCAGAAAGCTCCTCCAGTTCCCAGACACACCCACCGCTGGCGTGTGGAAGCGGCAGTAGTGGCATTTGAAGAAACAGCCACCGTCATCATTCGATTCTATTTTCTAACCATAACTGCACACTTGCAACGGTCATCGAAGCAACGGTCTGATTTCTGTGGCCAATGTACTTACTTCATCCAAATAATCTCTACACTAGTGATAAACTCGTCCACTCTCAATAGAATGGGGGAGAGAAGAGTGCGTTTCTTAGGTATTCGACAGGTTCGCTTGGTGTTTTTTCAAAGACGCACGTTTACTCCCAAATTTTGACGGTATCAGTTTATCTCAGAGCTGCCTTTGAGCTTTGCAGGCAAATCTGAAGCTTGGCGGAGAAATTACAGCAAATTCATACGGTAGCAAGTGTTGCGAAGCTATATCAGCCTGGTCATTACCCGTGGCGCTGATAGGCATGTGCACTGATAGAACGTGAAACTCACTGAATGTATGGCTCCGAGAGCGGGATCCTCTGCTGGATTGAGCTGATCGCCAAGTCCGAGTAGCTGACTTGCGTCTCATAGTCTATCAGATCACATTCAATGTCACAGCTGCATTTGTTTGCGTTTTCTGGAACAATACTGTGGGTTGCTTACATAGTCAAGGTTTTCTATGCTTAATGCCATAAATGCCAGAAGACATGGGTGTACACTGAATGGACAGCATACCCGACAGTAGGCCCGTAGCGCGGCGAGAGGACAGAGATGCAGAGGGAAAGTTGTAGCGCGAAGTGTGCGATGTGAGTAGTACTATAGTACATTCTACATATTTTACAGTATCCGCTGCCACTCGTTCGCTGATCGTCCGCGTCTCTGCATCTCTGCCTTCTCGCTGCGAGACGGGCCTCCTGCCTAGTGGACATCTATCAATTCCGTATTCCTAAATGTCTCTTGAGCCCGGCGTGGATTCAAAACATAGTTCATACAATAAATGCATTCAATCGCTGAAAGAAGTAAACGAGATTGTATAAGCTAACCATGAACGAAATCAGCACATCTCTTAATGTCATAAGGTGTGCATATGCCCGCATCAGAGGAAATCTTCAAGGGAAGCAGCACCATCGGTTGGCACCCACACGTACGCAGCCATTCCTGCGCAAGGCAATTCCATTCGCAATGAGCTGAAGTGTACTGAAAAGACAAAATCCCAGCGACTGACTGAGGAAATGACTTCTATAAAAGTTATGGCAAGCTCATTTGTTTTCGTTCACATGGCAGAACGATTCAAAGGCGGATGTCACGGGAAAATCTTGGCTTGTTAGAAGTGAAAGCAGAGGTAGAAGAAGGTGCACCGCTCAAGAGAAAGCCGAGATAACGGAAAACTCGCGAAACGGGATCCATTTCCCCCTACTTGATTTCCACTCTGGCCAAGATTCGACGGTAGATCACGCTATCGACCTAAGCGCCTTGATGTGGCCCTACTCTCTGTCGCCGCAGACGGCGATCTCTCACCATCAGTCGACCGAGTGCACCAGTAGGTGTCAAGCGAGTTCAACTGTCCTTTGCGCAAAGATCAACCGTGAAGGGGGGTCGTATTTGGCCATTAGAAGGGGGGTCGCAAGCCCTGGGACCAATCATATGTAGAATTTGAAGGTCGTAAGGTAGGTATGGTAAACTTGCAACCCAGAGCGGGATTGCTTACTAAATCACTTAATATACAAGTAAGCATGAGCAGATTTATTCCAGAGGAACTTTGTTTTTAGACCAAACAAGAAAGGAGGAGAAGCGCAGCGATTCGGCCTATTACTTCTAGAGTTGTAGTGGGACATTTTGGCAGAAAAAGGTCATTTTAAGGCTTCCTAGAAGAATTCAGCGTGTGTTATAAAGAACTAAATTCACTGAGCTTTAGCACTTTCCATATACCAATTTTGAAGAAGCTTATAAGCGTTTGAAGGTTGAGAACCGGCGCTTTAGGAAAATGGCCTGAAGACCATACATAGAGGGAAAACGGAACAATGGGGCTGACATTCAAACGAGCGGTCTTTCAAAGAAGTTTCAGTAAATTTTTGGATGATTGTGCCTTTGCAAGGATGCCATCACAATGAGCTAACTCAGACGAAGTATGCTAATTAACAAACCAAACCTCGAGTTCCGTTAGCACCGGGCCATGGAGCTTCTGATCCCATTCTCGCTGACATAGTCCCCAGTCAGACCTTGGCAAATAAGACACCTGAAATGACAAAAAAAAACAATTCACGGGTGACAGAACTTCCGCAAGCACAATCCAGAACCTTCTCATGATCTTAATTTCGTACGTTTTAAGAAAAGCCATATTTAATAATTGCAGCGTACATTTCTGTAGGAAATGCCAGCGTGAAGGGCGGCTCCTGGCGGGACTGAGAGACCGTGGGATTTCACTGAGACTTCTTTATTGGGCTCATGCACCACGACATGGAATCCCACATCGAGCGAAAGGGATGAGTCTGGAAAGCGAGAGCTTCTGGAATTTTGTTCATCTCAGTGAGCAGGAAAAGGAAAAGAAGGGAGAAACCTGAGCGCAAGTCGCTGCTAGCGTCTAGGATGAAGTTCCACCCACGGCTTCTACCACTCAAAAATTGCTTCCTCTTTGAAATTGAATTTGAAAACCTGAAATCTGCTACCTTTCACTTCGCTTGTCAAAGGACAAGCACAATTTTTGATTCAGCAGCTCGCACAAACTAGCTTGGTACATAAAATTTCAGCGTATGAGTATGAACGGTAGGAAATATCAAGGTAGTCGCTGCGGATAACTGGCTCCGCAGCACGCAGCACACATCTTCTGGCAGAGATTGCCATGAACCTTCCCAAGAAGGCAAAGGTAAGAAATGAGCGGAGAATTCCGTTGGTGGAAGTTGCACCAAGCGAAAAAGGACCACCTCAAACGAAGGATAATGGAAGATGATCTCCCAGATCCAGGACCACTCCAGGATCTCGCAGCAACACGGTTAGGACCACCCTACGATGTGCCAGGGCTCGACGCGAAGCGGATTTGGGGGAGGCGGAAGGGGATAAAATATTAGGTCGGTCCATAAGTCTTGCAACAAACTACATTTAATGCTATAGAATTTTAGGGAGAACTCCTGAAAATCCGCAACATATTTCCTGACGTAGCATCAACCTTTGCAATTTCAGCCAACGGTCCAGCTCGTTGTCTGCTTACTTATTATGGATATTACACCGATTTCGCGAGAGGGCTCTCGATGCCCTTAATTTTTACGAGTACTGCTTGGAATGTTCCGCAAGTCATGCTAGACCAAGGATTGGCCAGAAGATAGGCGAGGGCAAGCTCTCTCAAACCACAGTGCAACGGCGCTTCACTCTGCTCAGCGTTGACTTTTTTATTTGAAAATAACCCACACTCCAACCACCCTGTGACTGACAATCACGATGCTCTATCTGACGCGTTGAAAAGGGATCTGGATAGAGTATCGATCATTTGCTAGAGCGATTCCGATGCGACAAGGAGACAGCACTGTGGCATCTCCAAAGACTTGTGAAGATCCGAAAATGTAGAGTTTGGTCCCCACGTGCCTTGAGCCCGATTCAGCTCCAAACACGATCTGACACCGTTATGTTCAAGTCGACTTACTAGGGATTCTACGATTGACCATCCATCACATTTGCCGAAGATGAGGAGTGGGTACAGTTTACTAACAAATGAACAAGCGGCGGTAGTCCAGCTCAAACGCTTCGGGAGATCTTATTGCTTAAGTTCAACCTCGTCCAAGTAGGGCCTTCTCGGATTTTTGGTGGAACACGGGAGGAGTTAAGCTCTGGAAACCCCTCCGTGTAGATGTCGCAGTCAACGCGAAAGTCAACTATCCACAGCTCGAATGCAACGCTTTTAATACGAAAGAAAAACAAGGCAAAGTTTGCTTTTGTATGACACCGTTGAAAAACCTCTTGCTAAGAAAATTCAGGAAAATTTCGAGACTCTGGGACGGAGAGTTCTTCCGTATTCACGTTATAGCCCTGACCTCGAGGCAAATAATGCCCCTGCTCCCCTCTCCAAACCATCTCCTAGAGAAGAAAGCTCATCCTAACTATGATGATGTCAAAATCGACATCTGATCTTTCTTCGATCAGAATTCAGTAGAGTCCTACAAGGGAGGCATCGAGCAGCTACTAGTGTGTTGGCAATAGGTTGTAGATATTGATGGAGGGTAGCATGCCGGATGAATGGAACAAAAAGATAATGAAAATATTAAATTCAAAATTCGGCCAGTTTGTTGCAAGACTTATGGACCGACCTAATAATAAATTTTTAGAAACGGCACTTGTCCAACCGAAGGTGCGGGAATAGAGACTGTGATAAAATGGGCATATATACTTGGGAGGCAACAAGCACCCGATAAGGAGTGCACTAGACCTCGAGGTCGGGAACAAGCGACCACGAGAGCTCCGAAGTGATGATGGAGGGACGTGATAAAGGGTTTCACTGATGTCGCGGCCACGGTAGGGATGCCGTGGGTAGGACAAAGTGGCGGCGCCTAGAGAACAGCAGATCAAACGGTTCCGATTCCAGCAGTAACCATTCGATTCGCAGAAAGCCTTAGCACGGCCTTAGGTACTTTCAAAAGAATTTGTGGGACCGTAACCGGAATATCAACGACAGTCTATGGAATCACTTGTAACGTTCGAGTCAGGGTCAACCGTGCGCTAGCACTATTCTAATGAGGGGGTGCATTTAAAGGATGAATGGGATAGTAATCGGATAATAATTTGAAGTGGGCGGAGTTGGGCTGTGTCGACTGGTCTCAGAATCAAATACTATAGAAACAGCCATGATGGCGAGGGTGGTGGTCGGGGTAGGGAGAAGGGTGGTCGTATTAGGGGAGCCTCCTGAGTCTCATGGTGGTGGTGGGGGGTCGCATCGAGACCCCCCTAAAGGAGGGGTCGCGAATTTCTAAAAAGTGCGAACGTCACGGTTGACCCTGGTTCGACTTCCAATGTGCTAGGCTCAACGTATAGAAGTTTATGGTCGGCAGGAGCTTAACACTACGGTCATTCCGGACAAATTTTCAAATTCGACCTGCCTGTTGAAGAATCCTCACCTGACGCAATAGCCGACGTCGGTGATCACGACTTCGCTGTTGGCGCAGCAGTTCTCAATGTCCTCGCCAGCGAAGGAGCAGCTCAACACCATTTCTTCACAAGTTGGCCTAGAGAAAATATTTGAAAGGCAATCAAAAATGCAGGCGACGGGAATGTTGGGTACTCTGAGATGCTATTATAAAAACGAAACCATTTTTACCTGACATCGAGGAAAAAATTCGCAATTGAGAAATTTCGTCCAGTCTCTGAGCGGTAGTTGTTTTTGTAGCCCTCAAAAGCACGATGTTTCTCGTCAAGCTCATCGCGCTCGACCTGATCATTGAAGGAGGCCAGAAGATACAGCAGGGCA